CTCTCTACAGTAAAGTGATCACTCCATCAGGATGAGCTCTTAGTAACCATGGTAGCAGCTCCTCACAGTGAGCCGGAGTGTCTCAGGCTCCTCCTGCTCCCAGACCCAACCACGGGCTTTATCACGCTCAATCAAGTGGAGTCACCCCATTCACCACAGTCCCACCAACACTGCCGCACTTTGTTATTTAACATTTCAATCAGGCGCATAAAGTGGAATTCTGAATGTAAATAAGACGTTATTCCGAAGAGTCAGGTGTAGAAAAAAGGAGACTAATGAAATTCAGCCCATCTGACGATTCATTCTCCAGAAATCAGTTCTGATTTAGTTTGAAGCCTCAGTGTTGCGTGACTCAGCGCAGAGTAATTCAACAGAGTAAATTCAACAGAGTAAAAAAACTAAATCTGCTCACACTCACAGTCATATTTCATTAGCCTCATTAACCTGATTAACTCATCAGTGCTTAAAGATATAAATGTACTTCTGCGGATATTTCCTGGACATATGCGCTCAGTGGCCACTTTATTAGAATCCCCTACCTTGTAGTTCCACCTTGAGACTGCAGCGGGGGTTGCCAGGTGTCTACTTTTGGACCAGACACATTTAGAGCGCCGTTCACTGGTGTCTGGTCGAGTCTCATGCTAATTGCATTCTACTTGTTGAAGTAAATAATGTTCTAGGGCAGCCATTCTCTCTCTCTCTCTCTCTCTCTCTCTCTCTCTCTCTCTCTCTCTCTTGCGCACATACACCAGCTCGCAGGCCCAAGGGTTTTTGATTGTTCCATGACTGCAACTTAAATTGCATGTAGCATGCAAAATAGCATGTCTAATTAATACACCTCCAATTATGCCAATACTATATTGAACATACCTTTCAGTACAGTCACATTCTGATTAAAACACAGTCTATGTGAAGGAACCAAAGCTATGCTATGTTATCGTGGGCTTCAGAATAAAAAGGTAAATTATATCTACTTTCAAAAAGTAATTAAATATGTATCTTGATCTGTTTATGTACCAAATAGTCTGCAGACAACACAGTGAATAACAATAGATTGTCATGGTTTTAGTTTTGTTGGCTTTACACAGTGAAACTTTCTTGCAACTAGTTGTGAGTTGCCTGCAGCATCATTTCCGTGCAACTTGACAGTTACACAAAGCAATTAAAAAACAAGTTGCATACAACATATTCAATTACTCCACTATTTAACCAAATTAGCAACTCATATTTTGTATTCATCGTATCGCTTTACTTGGTGAAACTTTTTTGCAACTAGTTGCATGTTCTGAGTTGCCTGCTGCATCATTTCTGTGCAACTTCACAGTTACATGAAGCAATTCAAAAACAAGTTGCATGAAACATATTCAATTACTCCACTATTTAACCAAAATAGCAACTCATATTTTTGATACACCGTATCGTTCATGCTATAAAGGTGTAATTTAGATATTTGCAGCATTTTTACCTTTTTTTCAGCTGTTGTTGCCATTTTCCGCCCCTCATCTATACACACTATGTAGATAAAAGTATTGGGACACACCTCCTTACACCGCCACTGAGTTCAGGTGTTTCAGTCACACCCATTACTAACAGATAGATCAAATTAAACACACAGCCTTGCAGCCTCGATAGACAAACACTGGCAGTAAAGGGGTCGTACTGATGAGCTCAGTGACTTTCAGCAGGACTCTGGAGCAGTGAAATCGCATTCTGTGGAGTGACAAATCACGCTTCTCTATCTGGGAGTCTGATGGACGAGTCTGGGTTTGGCGAATGCCAGGAGAACGTTACCTGCCTGACTACATTGTGCCACTTGTAAAGTTTGGTGGAGGAGGGATGATGCTATGGGGTTCTTTTTCAGGGATTGGTCTAGAACCCTTAGTTCCAGTGAAGGGAAATCTTAATGCATCAGCACCAAGACAATTTTGGACAATTCTATGCTTCCAACTTTGTGGGAACAGTTTGGGGAAGACCCTTTTCTGTTCCAGCATGACTGAGCCCCAGTGCACAAAGCAAGGTCCATAAAGGCCTGGCTGGGTGAGTTTGGTGTGTGAAGAACTTAACTGGCCCTCACAGAGCCCTGACCTCAACCCCATGGAACACCTTTGGGATAAATTAGAACAGAGATTGTGATCCAGGCCCTCTCGTCCAACATCGGTGTCTGACCTCAAAATGCTCTTCTGGATGAATGGACTAAAATTCCCACAGACTCTCTCCAACGTCTTGTAGAAAGCTTCCCAGAATAGTGGAAGCTGTTAGAGCTGCAAAGGGGGACCAACTCCATATTAATGCCTATTGATTTAGAATGGGACACCATAAAAGCCCCTTTGGGTGTAACATGTAGGCGTCCCAGTACTTTTGTCCATACAGTGTATCTGTCTTTTATCTATCTAAGGTTCTTAACCATATATTTGAGTTCTTTATATTTTTCTGATAGACAAAAACCTCCACCCGCCCCCGGCCTGGACTGTCTGGTTTTGCCACAACTGAAATATGGCAACCCTAACTGTAGCCCATCTGTTGATGCACAGTTTGTGATGGTCTACTTGTACATCAGTGGTCAGTTTCTGACCAAAGAGCCCCTCTTGGCTGCTGGATACGTGCTGGGTGGTGGACCACTCTCAGCCTAGCAATGACACCAATACAATGCTACACACACTATCATGTTAGCATTACTGCTATACTGAGAATGATCCACTACCCAAATAATAGCTGGTCAGTAGCAGTCCAGTTGTCTGAAACTGACCAGAAATGAATGAGGCTGACAAATTGGCTACACCAACATATGAACTATCGTCTATAGTTACACACCTATTTAGTGGATCTGTATAATGTAGGTGGAGCTCATAAAGTGGCCAGTAGGTGGAAGCACATAGTTTATGTTTCTAATAATAAAGTGGATGGTGAGTGTATTCAATACTATTTTCTAACTACCTAACACATAATAGCATAATTAGCCAGTGGTGGTTCTTTAGACCGTTCGATGAATGCAGTGGAGGACAGCTGCCAAATGGTACAAGACAACAGATATAGACGAAGGCCTTCAGGGCCTATAAGGCGGGAGAACCTCAGTGGTCAGCCAGTGGAAGTAACGGGGGGAAGTGTATAGGACAGAGCCACTAATGCTATTAGATTGGCTAAATTAGTCATTTTTACTGTCACTGAATGTAAGCACTGCACATAACTTGATTTATATGAATACCTTTGTGACATTAACATAATGAGATATAGAAAAAAAACATTGCTTTGTGGTTAGTTTAAAGGAATAGCAAAATGCTAATGTTGCATAGGTGTCAACCCATACAGTGTATCTGTACAAAATATGTTATTTTTGAGGTATATGGTCATTTAAGGTTGGGATACAGGATAACTAGAGTAATACAATATAACTTAAGCCAATTAACATCAGTGATTTTGGCCGTTCAGATCTGTTTCTCACTTCCTGTTTCATTGGATCTTACTAGCCCAAGTCATGTGCTCAGACTGTGGGTGCTGCCATATTCATTTATGTTGTGCACTTGCTGGACAAAACAGGTATTACCACATGTTTTCTAACTGAAACAAGCCAAACCAAAGTATCACTTGCCAGAATTTTTAAAAAGTGTTATGCTGTAATATCAGATCATCGTTGCAGGGAAGTTTAGTTTCAATGTCCCTCAAGCAGACAGGCAGTAGTGTTTCTTAGCATTGTACAAATGAGATCATATCACAGGTCCACACTGGCAACCTTTCATTACTAGCCTGTTTTCTTTAGCTTTGCACTCTAGCTACAAGTCATGGAACCAGTTAGCATCATGCAAAACTATGTTTGGGGTAAACAACTTTTTTTCATGCCCACATTTGAAAGACCAAACCTAAGCTGTCTATGAGAGAAATTAGTGCTGTTGTCAGTCACGTACAGTAGTGAACTAAAATGCCCCAAAGCCGATACATTTTGTTCTGCATAACCTGCGTTTTTTCTTGAGAGTCACCGAATCTTCTAAATTAGCAGTCAAAATATGAATAGCTAATGCTACATACATGCTACGAGTAAGCTAACGCTCCTGCGCATTGAAACAGTGTTATATACCAACACAAGCCACTCAGACTGCAGCCTAAAACTGTCATAACTTCTAAATTACCACATTTGACAAAGCTTGTTGGCTTGTGTGAGCTGGTTTGGAAGGGTTGTAAGCCTTGATATCCATTCAGTGCACAGCAGGGTTAGCTTGAGTGCAGCAATAGCTGTATTTCAGCTCTTTAGCGACCTGCGAAATGTGGCAATATTGAGAGGAAAAATGTCTGTATGGTAAAATGTACTGTATTTAGGATATTTTAGTTTGGCACAGGATGTTACAGTGGTGATTTTCCAAAAAGGCATTCACTTCTATTACTGAGAAAAAATGCTTAGACCCAGAGTTCCCAATAAGGGCAGACGACATGAGGTGTCCTGTGGTTAACTAAAATGGCCCAGAGTATATATATTTTATCCTGTGTACATTTTTTCTCCTCAACTGTCACTGGATACTCTGAATTATGAGGTTGTTCAGCAGTCAAAGTATGAATAATGCTACATACATGCTACAACTAAGCTAATGCACACTAAATTGACATCGCATGAACGTCTACTGTTAAACTTTAGCATTATATACCAACGCCGGCTACTCAAACTGAAGCCAAAACTGTCAAAGCCGCTTAACTTCCGCATTTGTCAAAGATTGCTTTTGTGTGGGGTATTTTTGGTGAGGTTGCCAGTCTTACAATGTCAGTTCATTGCACAGCCGTGTTAGCTTGCATGTAGAGATACATATTTCAGGATCCAGCGATGTTCAAAGGAAAAATACCTGTAAGGTAAAACATGTCAGCTTTGGGAAATATCCGTTTTTTTCAACACAGGATTCTACGCCTCCAGAAAGAAAAACTACTTAGACCTGGAGGTCCTAATAAAGGCACGATGCTGAGGACAGAATGACGAAACTTCAGAAGTCTATATCTTATATGTGTCTTTGCTCTGATTTCAGGAATGACGGCGGCCGCCTCTTTGGTCTCCCTGGCCTGGGCGCTGGCCTCCTACCAGAAGGCCCTTCGTGACTCACGAGATGACAAGAAGCCTCTCAGCTACCTGGCAGTCATCATCCAGTTCTGCTGGCACTTCTTCACCATTGCAGCACGGGTGGTGACCTTCGCCCTTTTCGCCTCTGTGTTCCAGCTCTACTTCGGCATCTTCATTGTGCTGCACTGGTGCGTCATGACCTTCTGGATCGTGCACTGCGAGACCGAGTTCTGCATAACAAAGTGGGAGGAGATTGTCTTTGACATGGTGGTGGGCATCATCTACATCTTCAGCTGGTTCAACGTCAAGGAGGGCCGCACACGCTGCCGTCTTTTCGTCTATTACTTGGTCATCCTGCTGGAGAACGCAGCACTTAGCACCCTTTGGTACCTGTACCGGATTCCGGCAAGCACAGACGCCTTCGCTGTTCCTGCGCTTTGCGTCATCTTCTCCAGCTTCTTGACGGGGGTGGTATTCATGCTCATGTACTACGCCTTCTTCCACCCCAACGGGCCGCGATTTGGACGCTCGTCCAGCCTCACCCAGCTTGACGAAGCCTCGGCCGCTTTTGCCATGCCTGCGGAAGGTGCCACCAACTCCTTGCGATCCAACCGGGGCGGCACGCTTGCGCGGGATGCTGATCGAGAGGCCAAATACGGCACGGAACGAGATGGATGCGTGCCGGTCTTCCAGGTACGTCCAACTGCCCCGTCCACACCTTCGTCCAGGGCACCACGCCTGGAAGAGACCGTGATCAGGATAGACCTTTGCCGGAACCGTTATCCGGCCTGGGAGAGGCACGTTCTGGACCGCAGCATACGCAAGGCCATCCTGGCCATCGATTCCTCACCCACGCCCCCTAGGCTGCAGTACAAGGACGACACTTTGGTCCAGGAGCGTCTGGAGTACGAGACCACTTTGTAGCTCAAGCTGTGGAGGCACACATGGTAAACCCGCATAGATTAGCATCCATAACAGCAGGACTGTGGCAATAACATTACTAGCGGAGCGTACTGTAGAGACTACATAGCATTCTGCCCATGATGTTGATTGTCATGGATTGCGAAACAAAAAAGACAAGAAAAAGAAAAAAAGGAAAAACGTATTTGTTGGTGGAAGGATGCTTGTGATCTTTTTTAAAGTGTATGTTTTTTTGGTTCCATCAGTTTGGATTTCTTTTTTTTTTCCCCCTATTTTTATTACTCGTGTCTCGTCAGGGAATAAATTGTTTTGTAAAAGGCCATTACTCACAGATCCTGTCCACTAAGGTCCATTTCCCTCTCAGTGTTGTACAGGTGTCCAGGAATCACCATCATATACACTACAGGCAATTCAAACATGAAGAACATTTCACACACCAATTCTGTGGCTTCTACAGACTTCTACAGGTTCTCTGTCACAGTAATGTACTTAATGTCCAGTCTTTTACCCATCAGACTAAGCGTCCACCACACTTGTTCATGTGTCAATGGAATTAAAACGTGACACGATATGGCTACCTGCTGTGCTGGAGAAAACGGGGGACGGCGTCTCCATGGCGATAAAGCTCACGGAGACCAAATGTCCTTGTCCAGGGTGCTGAAACCTATGAACATCAGCAAACCTCTCCCAGTGCCAAAAACCTGGTCCCTACTGGACTCCACAGTGGATCGTGAGTCTCTGCCACTAAACTGTACATAAAAAACCAGGGCAGCATTTCAATCATCTACTTGAATCCTGTACAAAAAAAAAAAGAAAAAAAACACAAAAGGAAAAATGTACATGGTTGTCACACACTGAGGAAGCCACAAGCTCCATCCTCTTCTCTCCTGGAGAAGACACCAGGCCAAGAAAACTCTTTCTGGCAGCTCAGTCCAATGGCGGCTGTGGCCGAAACAGATCTGTGTGGTCCACATACTCATCTGCACACATATACACATACATACATACACACATGTATACTTATATGTAGCTAGATGTACTTCTAAGAACAAGTACTTATAGATACATCTAGGAATATGTACTGATGAAAGCGGAAGACACAGACAACCTACTGACACACATATGCACACACAGAGCAATCTACAGCAGCATCAGTGGTCACTGACTGGAACCAGGATGAACTTCACCTATCAAAAAGATTAAAGATACAGTGTTGGTGTTGGGGATGGGTCAGCTGCTCATCGACAGCATGTGCAAATGTGTGTGCGAGTCCATGTGAGCACCGCCACCCTGCACAGTTCAGTGTTCTCCTTGCTCCAGAGGTGGGTAGTAATCAGTCTCATTAGCCCTCTGGACTATCGTCAGAGGGTTTAGTGGGTTTCATTGCCAAGAACAACCTGCTTTGACAGGAAGGGGCCGTTCGACTGGTAGACCACTGAGTACTGTACTGCACCAAAAACAGACCCGGGTGAAACAAAATGGTCAACAGTAAATATGCAAGGATATTTTGTTTACTAAACTCATGAATAACTATAAGATGACTATAACAACTATGATAACCATAATAAGATGGGATGGTGCCATTTAACTTCAGTCCAGTGCTTACTACTTGCTCTGAAAGGCTTATTGCTGTCATTGTGTGCAAAGCAGGCAACTGCTTGCTGCTAACTAATTAGCATTGAGCCTGATAAACAAAAGTTTGTTTCCCATTGGACTGATATAATCTTCTGTACATAATTGCGTACACACGCCAGTGTGGATGACCAAAATTCCAATAGTGGTCATCTCAGCATACAGCCTACACCATGGTGCTCAATCCCAGCCTGGGAGATCTCCAACCCTGGAGAGTTCAGATCCAACATGACTGTCTCTAATATTAGTTGACCCTGAATCAGGTGTGTTTGATCGGTGGTGGGCCTAAACTTTGCAGGGTGGTGGATCTCCAGGACCAGGATTGGGCACCCCTGGTATACACTATGTGTCCAAAAGTTTGTAGACACCTGCTCATCCAACGTTTCTTCCGAAATCAAGGGTATTAATAGGGAGTTTGTCCCCCTTTGCTGCAGTAACAGCCTCTACTCTTCTGGAAAGGCTTTACACCAGATGTTGGAACATTGCTGTGAGGATTTGATTGCCTACAGCTACAAGAGTGAGGTCAGATATTGATGTTGAATGAGTCATCCCTAAGATACTGGATGGAGATCCATCACTCCAGTTCCACTGCTCAATGCTTGGGGGCTTTAAACCCCTCTAGCCAATGCTTGGCCTGAAGCATGGTGACTTTAGGGTCTAGTGCAGCTGCTCCAGAGCATCCCATTCTATTGGCAGCACTTTCCCAGAGCTTAGAAGCTGTGTCAGCAATGGGTGCACCTTAAAGTAGCTGAACTCACTAATGAGAAGGTATATCTGGATATTGTGTATATCAGGCTCTTTGGGACTAAAGTAGACACTTTTACTTCTACTTGCATCATTATTTCTTAAAATTAACCGCAAATTTCACTTTTAAAGCTACTATTACACACCACCTGGCTATAACACACTCAATTCAACTTAGGATGGGCTTTATAAAAAGAATACTCCAACATTTTTCAGCCTGATCTCTATCTGCCACAGCTATGGCATATTTTCAGTTAGCACAGCCAAACTTAGAAAAGAGCAGAAAACTCAAACTTGTAATAGAAGCCAAAGGGCAGGTGCTGAAGCAATTGACCATATGCTATAGACTGCAGACAGCTATAGACTGCAGGCCTGGAGTATTGCTTTAATGAGTTGATATGTAGGAATCAGGTGTGCTGGAGCAGGGAAAACCCTCAAACGTGCAGGGCCAGGTGTACTCCAGTTCGATGTAGGCTGCATCAACAGCAGACACAAAAGCGGCCTCGGTGCTCTGAACTAAGCTCCAGGCACTGGAGCGTCTCCAGAAATAGAACACTGTATCTTTAACTCTGCCAAAAGCATCCTCTATATATGAAAGGGAAACAAAAAAAGTTCCTGTCTTTCTCTTTTTTTTTCAGTTGTAGGTTGCAAGTGCTTCTTACTGTCTTTTGTGTAGGGAATCAGAAGACACGCTGGCAGAGACACGCGGAGACGAAACGGTACAACAAGCACAAGGCTCGAGCACGGCAGGAGAATTTGTCCTTTATTTTGTTGCACTCACATTGGGGGGTGGGGGATCGGGGAGCTGAGGGGAGTAACTGTGCAAGTTTGATGCTCTTCATGTGCCTGTAGTGAATAATTGGAAATCCATCACATCACATGGGTTTGGATCATGTGGTTACGAGTGTTGTCTTTTTGTTTTTGTTTTTTTTTGTTTTTTTAGGCCAGTTTTGTACTTTTGCCTTGTTCTTTTTGGCTCGGAAAAGTGTACTTTTCATTGTTTCGTTCTCTTTTCGGATGGATTTCGGTGTGCTTTATGCTCGTTATGTTGAACTGCACAACTGTTTTCGCTGTATGCCATTAATTGTGTGAAGGTGACTATCAAAAGGCATCTGAAAATGAGGTTAAATTCAAAAGTCCAGGCACAATTTTTGTCTAAATATTGAAAATCTCCCAAATCCCTTTAAAGGAATACTCCCCTGTTGTGCCTGCAGCATCACGGACGATAATTTCCCTGTACTTTGCAAAAGAACAGTCCAAATATGCTTATAATAGAAGCCTATGGGCAGATGCTGAAGCAAGAGCCCATTGACTTCTATTATAAGTGGATTTCAAACACAAAAACTTCCTGAAATGATTGTCTGTGGTATTCGACTGTATGCCACAGCTTCAACAGATAGAGATTAGACAGAAAAACATGGACATATTCCTTTAAGTCCATGTCAACAGCACATTTTTGTCTTAATGCTCAGCACAAATAGTAAAAATAGTGATAAAAATGAAGGAAACTAATAGAAGATCAGATGACTGCCACAGGCCCATGGAAAGTCCTTCTACAGGCCATTTAGCTTCAGCATATTCATTTTGTATCCCATATACTAACACTGACCTTTTTTTAATCATTATGGACCAAATATCCCTCTTTAAAGCCCCTAGCACTTATAAGAGAGAGCACAATGACACAAACTGCAAGTAATTGCAATCTGAAGAATGCATAAACCACCTATATGCCAAAATCCCCCCCGCTAGAAGGCAGGTCACGTGTGAGAAACACTCCTTCCACGCTGAATCTGGAATCTGATTTGAATCCGCAGACCCCCTCCATCTCATGAATAAAACAGATGTTGATATTTTTATTCCTGTGTCACCCTGAACACGCCACCTCCTGCGCTTTTTGTTTATTTGATCGAGCGATGTGTCATGATGTCAATAGCAGATAGGATCTGTTTTCTCAGCTCCGTTTTCGCGCCGCTCCTGCAGCCGCTGGATCTTGTTGACCTGTTCCTGTCAACAGCAATCACCGACACCTCCAAGCAGGTGTTCGCCGCTGTTTACGTTTCGCTCTATAATCTCTACCACGTCCCCTTAAATGTCCTCACACTTACAGTGCTGTTAAACCATAAAGGAAACCACAGACCGGCTCCGTAACACCCTTTCACCCCTGAAAGTTTCGGTTTATTACTCATTTATTAACTCGTTAAACCCTAAGGGTCTGTATGTGGGCCTACATTTCAGGTCCACACTCTCATTGCATAACTTACATACTAGTTTCTGAGCCGTTACTGAAGAAAGTCAAAGCAGTTACTGCACGACTAAATGATAGGCCTAGAGTTTAAGGGGTGAACTTTATAGGGAAACTCCACTGATTTTTCAAATTTTCTGCATAATTCAGTGGTTGAGATGTAAACAAAGTCAATCAGAGTGGTTTGATGTGAAATGCGCCATTGATACTTAGATTTCTTTACAGTATAATCCATATAACAAAACCACTCAAACAGTGTCTTAGGCATCACACAGCATATCAATAACCATTTCATATAATAATCTTCTGTGATGTAGCTTTTAGATATGATAAATGCTTCAGACATCTGGTTCTTATCGCCACCGTTCTGAGAAGTTCTGACCCTGTAGGTTTATTTAGAATGATGCATTTCACAGCAAAATGCTCGGAATGACTTCATTTACGTCGTAATGATTGAATTCTATTGTAAATTTTAAAAAATGGTGGAGTTCCCCTTTAAGGCTTACTAAGTCAAAATCATAAAACAGCACTACAGCCTGCAAAATG